CAAGAGTTTTACCGTAACAATAATTTTCAAAACAAACGAATAGTTTTCTAAACCATGAGGTTAATCTTTGTGATAATAAAATGAAGGGTTTTAAAATATTCAGTGGAGAGAATAGTGTTTTGCTAAAAAGAACCTCATGGGTTGATACAGATATAACTTTTCTTGTTTATAAGAAAACCTCACAATGACCCAAGAAAGTTTGGGTTCCTAAGTCTCTCTGAATTTTGTAGGTAATAGGTGACGAACAATATGACTCTGAATGGTACATCGATAGTGGTTGTTCGCGTTACATGACAAGAAGGAGAGAAGAGTTGAGGGAATTCTGATCACTAAAGGACGGTGGCAGAGTAAAGTTCGGAAATCATGCCACAGGGGAGATCAAAGGATATGGCATGATTACAAATGGCAAATTCTCCATTTAGAAGGTAGCTTATATGGAAGGTTTGCAATATAATCTAAGAAGTATTTCTCAATTGGTTGTAGGTATATGGATTAAAGTATGATTCAATGATGAGGGATTAGAAATCACTGAGAAGAAAAAAAGGCATTGCTTCAGAACTCCAAAAGAAAGGGAGAGATGTTCCTTTGAACATAAAACCAATCACCAGGAAGCCTTCCATTTACCTACTTACAAATGCATATTTGGATGACAGTTGGCTATGGCACCAAAGACTCTTGCATCTGAATTTCAAGGACATCAGCAAACTTGTACTTGGAGATCTTGTGCGAGGACTCCTATTCTTAAGTTTGAGAAGGAAAATCTATGTGCTGCATGCGAGCTATAAAAGTAAAGTCATAAAAGTCACTCCACTATTGTAAACACCAAAGTAATCGAGCCACTAGAACTGTTACACACTGATCTTTGTGGTCCATCTGCCATTGAGAGCATTGGTGGTAATAAATATATTCTAGTTGCATGTTTAATTCGCTCATCTCCAAAAGTGAGCCTAAAATGGTAAAGATTGCTCTTGATCATTCCGATTGGGTGCACACAATGCATGATGAGCTTAATAAGTTTGATCATAAAAAAGTATGGAGATTGATTCCAACTCTGAAGGGTGCATCTGTGATTGGTTTAAAATGGGTGTTTCGGAATAAGCTTGACAAGGAAGGCAATATAATTCGGAACAAAGCTCGGTTGGTTGTGAAAGGATATTGCCAAGAGGAAGGTATAGACAATGAAGAAACATTCGCACCGATTGAAATGTTAGAATCTGTTCGGATTTTCCTTGCCTGTGTAATGCACAAAATTTTCGAAGTCTATCAAATGGATGTTAAATGTGTGTTTCTGAATGGTGAATTAGAAGAGACGGTCTACGTAGAATAGTCACCAAGATTCTTGAATGAGAAATATCCAAATCGTTGCTACATTTTAGATAAGGTTGTGTATGGTTTAAAGCAGGCACCTTGTGCATGGTATGGAACCCTAACTCTCTTCTTGAAACAATCCAAGTTTAAACAAGATTCGGTTGAACTAACCTTCTTTCGCAAGAAAAATGGTGACCATCTAATGATCGTCCAAGTTTATGTTGATGATATCATTTTCGGATCCATTAATCCTATATTAATTGTTGAATTCCAAAAAATTATGGAAACTAAATTTGAGATGGGCTCAATGGCTCCCTATTAATATTTTCCTTGGTCAAAATATTAGATAAAGCTTGGAGGGTATATTTATCAACCAGGAAGTCTACATGAAGTCCTTGCTTGTGAAATTCGGAATGGTGGGAGATTCAAAGGTTAAGGTTCCAATGGCGTTCAGAATGAAGCTTACACCATCCTTAGACAAACCAGCAGCGGATATTACTCTTTATCGAAAAATGATTGGTTCTTTAATGTATCTTACTTCTTGTCATCCAGATATCATGTTTTATGTTTGCTATTGTGTCAGGTTTTAGGTGAATCCACGAGAACCACATATGACTGCTGTGAAGAACATTTTCCAATACCTAAAGAGAACGACCTCTCTCGAAATCTGGTATCCTTCCAACTCCGTATTCTTTGTTCAAGCTTTCTCTGATGCTAATATTGGAGGTTTTGGTCTCGATCGTAAAAGCACTTATAGAGGATGTCAGTTTCTAGATGAAAAACTTGTCAGTTGGCAATGAAAGAATTAGACCTGTGTATCCCTATCTACTGCAGAAGCTGAATACATCGCAGCTGCATCATGCACTTCTCAAGTTGTACGGATTCATAATCAACTTCGAGATTATGGGATAAATACGAAGAGGATTCCTCTCTACCATGATTCCGAAAGTTCAATTCAGATTTGTCATAACCCAGTGCAACACTAAAAAACAAAACATATTGCATTGCTGTATCATTTCATTATGGATCACGTAGAAGATGGAAATGTTGAAGTACACTTTGTAAGATCCTCTGATCAACTGGCATATATCTTTACAAAAGCCTTACCTGAACCAACCTTTAATAGAATACTACAAGGTTTAGGAATGAGAGAAGCGGACTCTGTACCGAAAACTGCATTGTAAAGATAAACAAAGTTCTTATTCCGAACTGCTTTGAGCCTTCGGAATACCTCGTAATCTACTACTCATGTTCCGAACTGCTTTGAACCCTCAGAACACCTCAGAATCCACTGTTCATCTGGTGATTCGGAATATCTTGTTCCTTTGTATATTAAGTCTCTTCCAACTAATTCCAAGCTTCAGATTGGTTCAGAAGATACTGTTCATCTGTGTTTATGAATTTTATTTTCTGTTAAAAAAAAATATATTTTCTTTATTATTTTTGTTTTATCTTTTGAGAAAATCAAAAACTACAAAGATTTTTATTCTATTTTTTGAGTGTTATTCTCAAAATAAGTTCTTATCTAAAGTACACTTTTGTCATCTCAATTCAGAATGATGGGACATGTATATAATTCCAAATCTCTGTACTAGCTAAGTGTCCCTAGAAGCATGCTTCTTCATGTTGACCCAAGACTTTGAGACTCTATGTTAAAGCCTTAATGAAACTATCATTCTGATTGTTTCTTCCCAATCAGGCTAATTAATCACATAAGTTGTTGTGCTACCTTACTCTTCTCACATTGAGTTAAGAGTGGACTGCATTGTCATTCTTTAATAGCAGAGGTACACTTTTCTCTTCGGAACCATCTTTAATATTTCTCCATGATTTTTGAATTCATGAAAATTACCCTTGAGACTCTCGGTATTTACCATTGAGGTTTATGATTACATAACATATATGTTAATGATCTCTAAATTGTTATAACCATCATTTAAGTGAAACCCAAAATCTGAAACCAGTTTCTGAATTGACAGTGAACAATAAATATGTTCTAGCAATTTTCACCACTAAGTTGACGAGTAAAACCTTTATGGTTCATACCTTACTCGACCCAAGACTTTTATTCCCAAAAAGGTCAAGTTTTTATATTTGTGAGATTTCTATACTATCTAGCCATTTAGATAAATCCAATGCATACTTGTTATTTTGGCTACACTGGTCAGACAAGTATTCTTCCAGACTTTCAGACTTATGTTGATTTTCATAATTTGGTTGAAACTGAAGCCACCGTTGAAGCCTACTTAAGAGATGCCTTTCACTATTTCATAACAAATAGTTGATCGTAATTCAACGGGAAACCACACAAGTTATCCAGACATCATCTTTCGGGATGAACATGATAACTTTTGTTAAGAGATGCCTTTCACTATCCAAACATTGTCTTTGGGGATGAACATGATAACTTTTAAGAATTTATTTTTACTCCTTTCACAGTTCATTAAGAAAGTGATAATGACAATGCTCCAATAACAAAAGGGCAGTTTAAAGCCCTCAACAAAAAATTGGATTCTCTATTAAAGTCTTCCAAATACTCGTCAAATTATGAGTATTTGTTTGAGTCTCATAAAGCAGTCATTGAGGTATTGACGAAGGAGCATGCTAAAAACCTCACAGAATCCTGAAAAGCTATTGAAAATTCCAAGAAAACTGTTCGGGAAACAACCGAAAAAGTCAAAAAACTACTTTATGATGTTACACAGTTCATGGCAGACTTCTGAACCTCTTCGGATCGAAATATTGAAGTTGCAAACAAAGCTATCGCAGGTGTCGGAACCTCCCTTCAATTAAAAAAGATGCTCTATCTAATATTCATTGTGAACTCTAGGTTGATAATGTCGAGATGAGTGCTATGATTGTATCCAATATTGATAGGCTTTAGGAGGATCTAACAGTTGAAAATATGATCATGGAAAATTGGCTTAGAAGAAGGAAAAAGTCAAAGTTCTATCTGTTAAGCTGAATTACGCCACATCGCATCTAGATCACCTCGTATCTATGAAGACTTTATACTGAAGTTGTATTTCTGACATCAATAATAACTTGCACAGTCTTCTCGAAACTCACGATTCAATGCTCCCTATGTTTGTCCGTTAGCACCTCTCGGCTAAACTCAAGCCAGTCTTAACATTGCTTAACCAGTTAGAGGGTGTTACGGGAAGCAATGCACTTCCAAAACAAGGGGGATATCAGTTTACCAAAGAAACTCACAAAGAAGAACCCCAACCCCAGTCTAAGCCAAAATCCGTTGAGCATCATAAATAAAAACCGAAAGTTGACAAGAATGGTAATGAAGCTTCTGGGTCAAAAGGCAAATGAAAAATGATCGATGATGATGAGGAAGAATAGGTGTTATCTGAAGGAGAGAAGCTTATGAGGAAAAAGAGGTATAAATAGCTCGATGATATTGAGCGTGTTCGTAAAGAACTTGAAGCTCAAGAAAGTGAGGCTATGGCTGCGAAATTTACTTTGAAAACACAAAAGTCCCTTTTTCCTCCATGGACCATGGTAAGGATTCAAAATGAGGCTATCGACAATCTAAGTTTGTATTGGGTGGACCCTTTATTTTCTTTTGACTTAGTGATTCAGCAGCTTCTCAATTTGAATTTCTAGTCACTCCAAGAGCATTCTTATTCAGATGATTTAAACATATTGAAAGAGAACCACTCTCAGATTATGATGTCAATCACATGCTCTTCTCATTCTACTTCAAGTATGGAAGGCCTCAACTTCAGATTTGGAGCTTGCAAAAGTTGGTCGTAGTCAAGGTTTATGCAGCTTTTCCGGTTGAGAACTTCACAAATGTTAGGTTTAAAGGTTTTATAGGATCAAGTCGTACCGAACTTGAGTTCAATATTGTAGATTTTCCATGTATGAATCTAATCAACTGGATCTCTTAGTTTCTGATTTTATCTAAGGATGAAAAGAAGTTCGAACCATTGATTGCTCCCCTGAAAAGAATGTTGATATGCTATATTCACGAAGTGGCTAAGATGGATGTAGAAATTGTTGTTGTTTTGAAAAAGAAGCTTATTGTGAATCCAGAACCAGAACCGAAGGACTTCCAAAAACTGAAACTAGGGAAGATAAATAAAGAAAACCGGAACATTATGTATCAACGAAGAGAAGTAGAAGAAGTTGTGAAAAGCATGTTTTTCTTGCTTGACAAGCATTTGTATCACACAACAGCTTTCAACAACATTTTAGTACTAGTTGCAGCCACCAAGTCAAATAATGCTGATGATTTGAAGTGTGTCATGGACATGATCAAGTGGTATCTCATGTTCCGAAATACTTTTCTGAATATGATGATGAAGCAGTTCCAGGTGCAGAAAATACATCAGTGAAGAATCTCCTTTTCTTACTTTGACACAAAGGGGTAGATTGTGGGGTTATTAAATGTATTGTGTCAAAGTGTTTTGTACTTAGATAGTCTAATTTACTAAAAGGTTGGGCATGTCTATCCGTCATTGTGGTGCTAGGGTTAGACTATTTATATTGCATGCATGTATTGTTCTAGGGTTAATCAATTGTATTGCCTTACATTGCTTTTACAGAAAAGTTCTCTATGAACTCTTCTAAAGCTTTGATAATATATAGCATTCAAAACATCTTCGATCATTGTTATTATTGTTTGATTAACTTTACTATTAAATAATCTATCAATCTTTAATTTATTGTCTCATCAGAGTTCTTTTGCAAAGGGTGATGTTACACTTCTTGACAAACTTTCTTGGTTTGGGACCTGGAGAATATGACTGGGGTGAAATTGTTGGGTGGTGAGATATGGTTATTCTAACATGCTTTTGTATGTTGAACCAGGCGTTGGGGTAGGTCTGTAGAAACTTTGTGGTTGAAACGGGAAGGTGAGCGGTGTATGCGTTCTGAATGGTTGTGAAAGTGCAATATTCAGTGCTTGGAGAAGGTTTGAAAACTCAAACTTTGAATTAACTTAAGATCAATGTTTGTTGCTAATATATTTGTCCAGTCAATTCTGGTAAACCAATCTTTTCTCGAAGTATGAAAATCAACTAAATATTTAAGTAGAGTAAAATGAGTATGAGCAAAGTAAAGACAATTTAAGAAGAAGAAGAATGATGGTGAAATAAATTTGACTTACAAGAGAATTTGTAATTAATGTGAAGAGAATATTGCTACTTCTTACTTACAATTCATGAAACATCATCTCCTTAAATAGTAAATGAGAGACATAGTAAAAACCGTGAACATTATATAGACTAGATAAAACAACGAACTAACCAAATCTGACACACAAGATTTACTTGATTTTGTCCTATGAACTGTTCACTCAATAAAAATGAAAAAGAACATATAATGCTTGTACATACTCTATCACATCAAAATACTAACTTTGGAATGTCTTGTAAATGTCTTCATCTCGAAAGAAGACTGACTTTGAAAGTCTTCACATCTCGGATTGCATTGACTTCGGATCTGGTTTGGCTCAAATTGCTAGATGTTCACTTTTATGCCTCAATAATCCCCTAAGTGAACTTAGCAATCAATCAACTCAGTGGGCTTCATTAGACACAAAGAGATAGGCACTTTGTATCCAACTTTAGACTTCCAAGTACCATATTCAGGTGTTCGATGAACTTCTTTTTCACATGCTCGCGAGCTTCACTTTTACAACGTTGGAGATGAACTTTTGAAGGATCTTTGATGGAACTAGATGTTTTTCAAGAACTCTAAAGAATTCTTTTCGGTTGGTTTTCTTTTAGAGATAGATGTATCCGAGTTTCGGTTCTTCAATGGGTCCTTCTGCCAAAATCTGAGCTTCAGGTACTTCATAAGTAATTTTTGCCAAAATATTCTCAGTTCTGAACAAGTGAGCAAATTCAATGTTAGACCTACGTAATTCTGCAACGTCGACCTTTAAGAAATTGATTGTAGTACTGTAAGCTCCAATGCTTGAGTGATTTGTTTGGTGTTCTCAAAGATGATCAGCAATGGTGAGAATGTCATTGGGGTTTCTTGAGGTAAAGTCGGCATCCGTGAGAGTGATGGTTGCTTCTTTGATTCGAGAGACATAGTACCTTTATAGCATACATTTGAGATCGAATTTGCTCTGAACCTTGTTACCAAATCCAACGATCTTGGTAATCTGCTTCCGAGACCATACTTCTTTTTGTGGACGTGCGTTAACGGAATAGAAGGTTCTCATTCTCTCACGCTCTGTCCTGATGATTGTTTTAGGATCATCATTCAGATGAAGAGGAGCGTACTTGATGTGGAATTTACCGTGAGGAGAGATTGGAAGATTAAGTTGGGAAACATCTTGAGTTGGAAGATAACAGTACATGAAGGGTGTTGAAGCCTATTTTGACGATCAGTTGGTGCAGAATAAGAACATCTTGAGATTTAACGATCATAAAAATATGAAGAACATAAATATGAGTAATCCCATCATTTACTAGAAAGAGGGAAATAAAATATTACATGAAGAACATTGGTTGGGAGACATAACTCTCCCTTGGTGGGAGAGATCCCACCACACTCTCTATCACTAGGAACTACATTTTGTGCATTCTTACTTACAATAATACGTGACCATCTGTCTTTATTTATAAGGAGAAAGGAACTAAACAATATAATAAAGGAAATAAAATAACCTAACTATTACTCATAATTGTAGAGCATTTCCATGCTCCAACATTCTCTCCCTAAATGCTCGTAAATGATGAGAGATACAAATATAGTGATAAAAGGCTAAAATACACAATTACCGACTAGCAAGTGTGGTAATAAAAATGAGACATAATGAGAACCAAATGCTAAAATGTCTCTGAAACTCTAAAGTGTATGTGATCTATGATGAGGGCCATGAATCCTTTTATCAATAAAGGCCTTCGGCTTCAAGGTCAACACTCTTGAGGCAGAAAAAATAATATCCAAATCTTCAAACTAGTCATAAGCCCAATGAACAAGTAGAAGATCCAATAAGAAAAACATTTCGGCTTCAAGAAGTCTGAAAAACATCTATAGTTCTTGAATTATAATACGCCCAGAATTCTTTAAAAGAATAACCTGCTAAAAATATGAAACATCGTGTGGTAGAGTCTGAATAAAAAATAATCTAGATTCAGTAAACATCTAGTAATGCCAAAAATTTGATCCGAAAAGACCAAAAATCAGTGCTACATCGAATCACTAAATAAATCATCGTCTTCAAAGCTCTTCAAAAAATCCAAACTCAAACAATCATAAAAATATATCAGGATGATAACATAATATTCTCTCACTATTTTCGATAATTAATGATCGGATATCAAAAATAAACAAATCATTTGGATGGAGAGTGTCGGATACCAAGAGCTTTACATGCTCTCCCTAGATGTATGAAGGGTCTCGATAAAACTAGAGAATGAGAGGAAAATAAATACTCTCCGGTCATGTGTAGACAATTGATTCCGTCACTGAAAACTGCTCGAACAAATACCAAAGTAACAATAAGAACTCTACATGAAAAATATCTGATGTGCTGATAAATACTAATGCACCCTTATTGTAGTGTCGGAACTCCTGATGTGGTCTTCAAGAAATAAAGTCCACATACTCAATATACATGATTCGACAACCGAAGATCACGAACGATAAGTCATAAAAAAATCCCGTAAAGCAAAGGTTGCGAAACAATTTTGTTGATCAGACACAACTGCGATGCAATCCTCGTGAAGAAAAATATGATGTCCGACTGCGGTATTGAGTAATCCTCATGGAAAGAATACAATTCTTCCAATATAATCAGCAAGAAGTAATCCATTGTGACTATCATAGGTTGCGTTGTGGAAAAAATTGGTATTACAAAAATTGGTTTTAATAAAGAAAATATAGAAATAAATTGGTTTTAATAAAAAAATTGGGTTTAATAAGAAAAAGGCTAAGGTATTTGTTGGGTTTCAGCAAAAAATTGGCTAAATAAAATTTTTGGTGTTAAAATAAATAAATTGGTGTTGATTAAAAAACAAAGGCTGAGAGGGGATAATTTTCAAGGGGGAGGGGAGCTTAAATGAGAGGGGAGGAGTATGGAGCAGGAAGGCTGAGGAGGAAGGTGGAAGGGGTAGTACTGAGGAGGGGTACTGAGGAGTCAAGGTAGACTATGGGTTGATAGAGGTAAGGAAGAGAGGTACTAAAGATGGGAGGTAGTAGTATGGTTGTGGGTTGAGAGAGGTAAGGAAGAGAGGTACCAAGGATGGGAGGTGGTATTATGGCTATGGGTTGAGAGGGCTGATGGCTACCGATGAGTGTACTGAAAAGAGTGGTCTTCAAGTAAAGCTTCAGTGGAAAGGTAAGCTAGGAGTAGGTACCAAGGACTAAGGTCTTCCGGTAAGGGAGGTAAGGGATTACAGGTTGGGTTAAGAGGTTAGGCTACATGTAGGTTTGAGTAAATGTTTGCGGTATGCGAAGAGGCAGGACTACGGGTAGTTCTATGGTGTGAGGAGGCAAAGAAGCAAGGGAAGTTTGCGGTATGCTTTAGATCTCCAAGTATAGGGACCATGTCTCCGTGTATAAGGGCTGCTCGAGGAGAGAATTTTGTGTAAGGAGGTCTTCGCTGAACCACAGAGGCTACTCAGTAGACCTCAGTGTCGAGCAGTTTTGTCAGTTTTTTGGTCTTCGGTTATAGGCACCGGGGAGGAGTATGATGATGACGAAAAATGCTATTTTTCATGAAAAAATGATACCCTAGAGCCTATATCTTTGGGTTTATCAAGGGAAATATTGTTTAAAGAATATGAGGATGATATGGAGTGTTGGGAAGGGTAAAATATGGTAGAAAGTAGGAGAGAGAAAGGTAAAAGTGAGGGGACAAGGCATAGGTCAAAGGGAAAAGGTTAAATGTCAGGGGATTTGTGGGGACAAAAGGCGATTGGATTGGTCAAGTCACATGGTTTATGTTTAGGAGAAAAAATTAAAACGGAGTACTCTTTCCAAAAAGAGTAAAGAGGACAAGTGCCTTTTCAAAACACCTTATAACGTCCAATATCTCTAGTAAAGATCTATTAGCCATAATTTAAAGATCAACAAGAGCTTCATACCTTTTAAGATGAACTCAAGTGCAAAATTATGAACTCCAAAAAATATGCTAATAATTTCTTCAAAAATATAATCTTCTCCACTTTCTTCAATAAAACCCAAGACACTGTGTCTATTTCCAGAGCGTAAATAAAGTTCCTGGAGCAAATTCTTCAAATATTTTTAGACCACAAAAATCTTCTCCCTTTTTCTTCTTCCTTAATAGCAGCATAAAACTTTATAAATTCAGATTTTCCAGCAGAAAAAATGAACGAACATCAACAACCTTTTTTTATTCTTAAAAGCTTGAATC